TATTTTATAATACTTATACATGTTTAAAACTTTGGGTTCTTTTTTTAATTTTTAGGGCATTCTATAACGCCATCTGGGGTGACTGGTTACCGGTACCTGACAACATTGCCCATATATCACACCTATTTATAAAGTCTAACATAAAATGGAAGTTCATTATATGATAAACTTTAACAATGTTTCTAAGCTATTTTTAAAAATGCAATATAAATAAAAGTCAATTCCAAGATAAACCTATCATAACCATAGTGCTTTTGTTACACACAAAATAAAAAGCTACATAAAAATTAGAATCATTATTATATGCATTAAAGAAAGTCTATAACGTCTAACATATAATGGAAGTTCATTATATGATAAACTTCAACAATGTTTCTAGGTTATTTCTAAAAATGCAATAAAAATAATCCTTTCAAAACCGTAGTGCTATTGTCACACAAAAAATAAAGANGTGCTATTGTCACACAAAAAATAAAGAATCACGTAAAAATTAGAATCATAATTATTACATGCATTAAGGAAAGTTTATAAAGTCTAACATATAATGGAAGTTGATTATATGATAAACTTTAACAATGTTTCTAAGTTATTTCTAAAAATGCAATAAACATAAAGTCAATCCTTAGATAATTTTATCAAACGCATATTGTTTTTGCAACACGAAAAATGAAGAATCATATGTTTATAAAAATTAGAATCATTATGTAGATAACGTACAAGACATGCACATGAACTGCATAGAATTTATGGCATTCCGTATATCTCCCAAAGAATTGGCAACAATATTTTCAATTTCAGACTTGCTTAGTTTTTTGTAGCAGGAATGCACCTAAAATTTAAAAGAAATGAAACTTATTCATTTGTCTCCTTCAATGAGATCTGAAGTTTAATGCAGGAGACACCTTACCATTGGTGAGTTATTAATTTTTGTGAGCACTTTCATCATCATGATTGGGGCAATTGCATTAAAACTAAAAAAAAGTAAAAAGTATTCAACAAAAAAATTATTAATAACATGTAAAACACAAAGCTTTAAAGCAAAATTCGTTGAATTCATAGTTTTCAATAACACAAAATAAATTAGATACTTATACAAAATAAGCATTAATAAAATAAACAGTAAAACTGTTTACTGAAACTTTTTCTTTTGCATTTATAAATGTGTTAATTTAAAAAAAAAAGCCAACTTTTATTTAATAGGGAAGCAATCATTTGATGTTAGTTGGCAATATCTTCTAATTTTTAAATGTAAATTATTGTAATTATGAGAGTGCTTAGGGTTTAAAAATGGTTTACTTTTGTCAAATCAGATAACGGAGGCTCACAATCGTCATCGATTAACTGCATTTTTAGTTGAGAAATGCTCATTTTTAGGCCCTCGATTCTTCTGAAAATCCTAAAATTTACCATATTTTATATAGTGGTCAACAAACATGTTCAAATATGTTATGTTACAAAACCAACAATACAAATCCAAAATACTAGGTGATAAAAAAAATATATTACATAAAAATAGTAGTGTATCAGTAAAAAATCTGATCCCTGATCTGTTTAATATACATAAAATTACATAAAACTATTAACAATAACATTACAATAAAACTATTTACCTAATATT